AACCTGCCACAAGGTGATGTAGCAGGCGCGTTGTGGCTGCAGTAATTGCAGCAGCGCCGTCGCCACAGTTCGGCGGAAGCGATCTTTGTAGTCGCGGGTCTTGTACCCATTCTTGGTAGACCTCTCCCGCTTGAACAACTCCACAAATTGCGCCTCGTCCTGCTTCGACACCTTGACGCTCTCACTATCAAAGAGGAGGTGCCCTGGGATGCCGGCACACCTTCCCAATGCCTGCACCCAATCTTGGACGGTCCACCGATCAACATGCGGACGCAATCCGCGCGAAGGTGGTCGCTGTGGCTCAAGCCACTCGCGCACCATATCCACACAAATGTAGTTCCAACCCCATAGCAAGAAATCGAGCTTTCTTGCAATCAGCCGTTCCTCGTAGGCGCGCAACCCGTTCTGTGGAAGCCGGAGCGGCAGCATCCGCAATCGGTTCAGCTTCGACATTGCGTTCTTGGAATTCGCTTGCCCGCTAATTCTCTCTTTGCTCCCTCGAGCTCCTTGCTCCCTCGGCAAACTCTAATCTCACTCAATTCCAAATCGCGCGCACTCAATTCTCTCTCAATCAACAAGTAATACTCTGCGCGGCGATGTCTGGAATGCTTAGCAGCTAGCAGATGGACGCGCGCAGCTCGCACTAGAAAATGGAATCGCGAATTCAAGAATGGGGCGCTCTCCGTCTCCCGGTCGAAGGTCATGGTCGGCTCTTGATCGTGAGGGTCGAATCACTTGATGGCCGCGCCGGCTCTACGCTAAAACGGTCTCCGCTCTCACGCGCGGCTTCACGCTCCGCCGACGCCGATTTAACTCACACGCTCGAATTGGCGAATTTGAACTCCGCAAGCGTACTACGCCGCGGACATAGGTGCGCAGCGCCGAAGGCTTCTTTTCCGCCTTGCGCGGTACACTCGTTCGTACCGCTCCTCGGCCAATCCTCCTCCGCCTAAGGCGATTGTCCGCGCATCGGACAAAAGTTAAACTCCCCCCTGTGCGCAGGCGGAATCCCCGGCGGAATCTCCGCCGACGCGGAACTTCACCCGCCTGTGCGTAAGCGCTCGCCTGCGCGTAGGCGAATTCCGTCCGCGCTGCTGCGCTGGCGCGGAAGGCGTTGACCGCGGTCAACAGACTCCGTCCAGACTGTCAGTCTCTTGTCTCTCCGTCGGCGCTCTCGCCGCCGCAACTCCGTCCGACCAAGAGCGCATCCATCCGTCCCGTCCGTACAGTCCGTACGGTCCGTACGGATTTTACTACTCCGGCGGTTCCTTGCCCGTCCGCGCTGTTGCGCTGGCGCGGAAGGCGCCGTACAATTTCTACCTCCAAAGGCGCATTTCTAGGGCCGAAGGCGGATTTCCCGCCGACGCCTTAGCGCCTGTGCGCAGGCGACCGCCTGTGCGAAGGCGAACTTCGCTTGTCCGCCTGGGCAGAGGTTTCCTTGCCTGTGCGTAGGCGACATTCGCGCCTACGTCAAAACCCTATTTCGCCTACGCGTAGGCGGACTGCTTTCGTCCGCGCATAGGACAAAACTTTCTTCGCGTGTGCGCAGGCGGAAAGCTGAGTATCTTGCGACCTTCATAACTCCCGGAGTCCTCATCCGTTTGTGGCGTTCTTGGGCTCGTTGGAATCAGCGCGTCGAGCTCTTTCCAACAAGACCCTAACCAAGTCGAGGCGTTAGGGGATTGACCCAATTCTGAAGGATTCCTCTAGTGCCGAATGCGGATTTTGCGCCTTGCGCCGAAGTATCATACCTTCAGAGCTCGCAGGGAGGGCGGTGTCCGTCCCTGACGTTGCACCCTACTCCTCGATCCTACGAGCTCCCGTGAGAATCTCTGCGATCTTCCGAATTCACTCTGTTTTGATGCACCGAAGGCTATTTACACTGCTGCCGCGGTACAGTTTCCCAAAAATGTTTTAATTTCCTCAAAAATACCAAAAGTGGGGTACCACATTTTTCATCATGAACTAAATATAATTTATGATAATCAATGTATAATCTCATGCTTACATATTTTTTCTTCACAAATAACACTATATTTTATAGGATAAAATATATATTTTAATAATCACTTTTTTCAACATCCGTTCAATTTGAGCATTGCATTCGTTTGATATGTTTATAATCAAATTATATGGAACTTTGCAAGTTGATAACATTTGTTGTCTTAATCTTGTGATATTGACGTTTTTTTATAAATATCAAATAGATAGATAGTCTTTGAAAGCTTAAATATAATTGAAAAAAATGATTCTCACGTAAAGTGTTAAAATTATCCTAAGACTGAATATTATTGTTCATGAATTTAGAAAAATCAGTTTTGGAAACGATGCTTTATTAACTATAATAAAAATAAATACTATTCAAGTTTTCAATTCTAGCTGTCATATCTAATGATCAATTTTAATTTCAATCTCATTTCAAATTGTATTCAAAAATATATTTATTTGATTATTTTTTTGTTTAAAATTCTAAATAACCCTGCACTCTATGATAGTGTCTCTATTGTTTCAATATCACTTCTTCAGTTTAACTTTTTTTGTTTGAATGTCAATCTTAATTTCATTGCAACAATTAGATAATTTTGCTTTATGATTAATAATACTTACCGTTTATAGTTTCATCAACTCATTTGTGATAATCAAATACATTTTTTTTGCTATTCTTATTTATGAAACATCATTCTCTTTGTCTAATCTTGACATTATCTATTTTTTGAATCAAAAAATACCAAAGTGCAAGTTTAGAAATCATCTTTTTTTCTTGAATAAAATTCATCAATTTTTTTGTATTTAATTCTCTTTATATTGATGGAAGATTGGTATATCATTTTTATTTTCTTTTGTGATCAATGCTTTCGCATGCATAACAATAATAATTATTACAAACTGTTGAACTCTTTCCATCATTTCATAATCTTCATAGTTTTTTTGCAAAGTCAGAAACAATTTTTAACCTTGTGGTGATGCATAATTTTTGATATGTCAAAAGGTTTTCCAAAATAATTGACTTTTGGCCAAATTAATCTCACAAATTATCTGATGATTCATAGTGTTTATGATTCCATAAAGATTTGATATTTGTTAACATTGCAAATAATTCGTTTACCATTGATTTATTTTTCAATTTTTTATTTATTTGATATTTTGGACTTCATTTAAACACATTCAAGTTTTTTATTTCATTCAAATTCATAATCAAAAATTATTCTAGTCTCATTTCAATGTCACAATTTTATTATTTTGAATTGAAGATAACGAGGAACTTAAAAATTCTAAAAACCTTTCTTGTTAGGTATTTTATTGTACCAAAATACCTTATTTTCTAAACATTATTTTCCATGTTGTTTATCATGTAAAAGACTAATCTATGAAAAAAGAACTCATGAATTTTACTAAAAAATCAATTTATAAAATTAAGATAAATATAAATTTATTTTCATAATGTAAACCTATAAATTTTCAATACTTCATCTATTATTTATATTTATAATGTACGTACTTTTATTCAAAGCAATGGATTCTTTTGATCTTTTATTTTTTGGAATTTTTTCCGTTTAAATTGTACATTATCAATTGCAATTGATTTTAATCAAAATCTTAATTCCAAAAAAAAAATTTAATCTTCAACTCTTCATCGTCTTATTATTAATTTTCTATTTTTATTTGCAAAAATCTTTACATTGTGTATACTGCTTGTTTTTTTGTGTTCTAACATTGTTGCTTTTTTCAATTTTTACATTTCAATCATGATCTTATTTGGAAAATTTGTTTAAATATATCATTCTTAACCAATACAGCAATAAACACATTCAATACTTAATTATCAAACACATGGATTGCAGATGCATTGTCTCTAGATTATTTCTAGCTTAATTAATTGAGCTATGATGTCTACAAATTTGTAAGAGAGCTGATCAAAGCTCTTCATAACACACGTTAAAAAAAAATGCATCATGATTTTTTGTCCTACTATGGAGAAAGTTTGATGTGATGTGATGAATCATGTATTTTTTTTATTTATCCACTATTATTATTCCACATTGCATTTAAAAAAAAATGTGATATCACAAAGTGATATCATTAGATCAATCTTAATTCTCATAATTAGATTTATTGAATCTATTTATAAATTTTAATATTATTGCAAAAGCAAAATCAATAATTGAGCATTGGCATTTCAAAATATAAAAATTCCATCTTAAAAAAAATGCAAATAAAAATTTTATGCATGTGATAATTTAATAATAATCATTACAATAATATTGAATCTAAAAAACGTTCACATAAGAATTCAGGCTAACATGTTTTGCTTTCTAGTTAAATATTTATTTAAAATAATGATAATATCAACTTAAAACTCATTGCTCTAAGATCAATAATTAAATGTTATTAGACATTATTATCATTTAATCTACTTTTGGGCATTGCTTATAACACAAATTTTTTGGCAAATTTTTTTTTATCAAAATCAATTTTTACATACCAGAATTGCATATTTTTGAAACTATAAATGCTGTCTTTGACATAAAAAATATTCACTTGATATACTTCACATCTTTCATTGATATTTCCATCTCTTTAAACTAATAGTACATGACAATTACTTAGCATGATAATCTCATATATTTAAAGCTTGTCTTCACGAATTAGAATTTAAAAGTCTGTTTCAAAAATGTCCTTTTCAAGCAACAAGTTTTTGCTCGTAGGTGTAGTGACTGCCATCCGAGCAACTCTGTTGAAGCAGGATTCCTTGCTCATCTTCCTCAACTTACTTTGATGCTCATTGTTTTAAGCCATGCACAACCCCAACCAAGACGATGAAACTGGCATGAATTATGTAGTCATCCAAACAATTTCAACATTCCATAGTTATCACCACATAGTGCAAATTGAGTTTTGAAGAAGTAGCTTCAATTCTCAGAACATCCCAAAATACACTTTGATTATAATGTTTATATGAAAGAGATACTGCAATTAAATCCAACTCAGATTCAGGTTCAAGGACTCATGATTCTCATACTATCCATTCCACAAAAGCCACATTTGAAAGTGAAAATTGGGCTTCAATAACGTATGAATCAAATTTGACGGGTTGAGTTTAAGTTCTCCCGACAATTTGTCAGCCCTAGCGACAACTCTATCACAAACTAATACAAAATTCTAATACAAACTCGATTACCTTCACTAGGGGCTATGAGTGTTATATTTGCTCTTACATATCGATATATTAAATGCTGATACACAGATCAAGATGATGATCAAGGAAAATATTTTTCACATTCAAGCCCTCATTCCAAAGCTCGCGAGGAAAGGATGCGAAGAAGAGGGAAGTACAAAGTGGTACGCATTTTCAGATCAAATTTGAAGAAGACGCTAAAGGAACACATTTTCGGGCTGACAGCGTCTCGGAGCTGCTATATTCGAGGAACTGATCTCGGACACTGATTCTCCCCGACGGTGACGGAAGGACAGACAGGACAAGATTCTGCCCGACTCCCTGCCGGTCGGTCGATGGACGTTGCGTTCCTCTTAGTTGACACGTGGGCGTTTTGCCGGTGTTCCCACTGTAAGCCTTCTGTTGTACATTCCTTCCTGTGCCGTACCGACAGGAAGATGTAATTATTGGGGCCATCCATTTCTCACTTGGACCATTGCTCTCTCATGATATTCTCTCTCCGTCTCCTTGTTGAAACACAAGTGTTGGATGGTGTGAGGAATCACTGTCATGGGCTAGATCGATAGGACAATCATCCCATAACCCGATTCCTGTTAGCTGAATGTCTGAATTTCCAGTATGCAGAAAGATTAGAAAGTTTGTGTATCTTGGATTTTCCAACTTGTAAATTTAGATTAGATATTTTCTCAACAACTACAGGTTGACCAACATACATAAAATACAGAAAATTATTGCACGGTGATCAGCAAATTTTATACTTTTACATGAAATAATTCGGAGGAGCAAAGATTAAACTAGTTGCACCTCGTTCAGGGGTGTAGGTGCTTCGATCTGTGCAGTAGTCTGCGGTACATTTGCAATTCGTCCCAGCATTCCTTTAAGTTCTCTGCAGTCCTTTTTGGAGCAGAATCCTTCATGATAGGTTCGAATGTTGATCTGGGTGAGTGGCCTGCAACGAGACAATTACGTTCTGGCTCAAAAGATCCATATGCAACAAATATACAAGCATCGGATATCGATGGTGTCGGAACACACTAGCATTGGAAGCATTCAACTAGCAAATTTTCTGGAAGAAAAACTTACTAACAGAGACTCAAGTGTTCGTTCCGGGGATCCTGTGAAGTAGATGGAGTAGACGTAGTTTCCAGATGTGGTGTTTATGGACAACAAACCGAAAGTACAACAAAAATGACCTGAGGTTGAAACCTCACGAATGATATTCCGAAAACCAAAGCTATACGTGCAGTTCAGATGCTATTAGCTTTTCGGATACCAAGGTCAAAAAATGTAGCGAGTGATAAAATAGAAGTTTTACCTCTATATCAGAGGCTGCCGTTTGTCTTGTGGAAGGATGGCACCTACCCTCCCAGCGATTAAAGTGCCGGAAGAGGCACTATGAAAATAAAAACTAAAGAAAAACTAAAACCAGAGGTGTGGTTACCTTCTCACAACTGTTCCGGACTGTTAGCTCCGAATCAGCAGGTCACGCAGAAGATCCGCACGAACTCCAACTAAGCACTACAACGACATCCAGATCTAGATTCAAAGGGGAGATTGAACAGTATAGGATAAGTGAGAACCCCGTGCCATCTCCTGAACTACCCCGTCCAGGTACTGTGGGACCTCATCAGAAGGTCGAACTGACGTATATCCGGAGTTCCCCTACCCGGAGCACCCCACCGGATACTACCCAGTACTAGCAGCGGCTATCCCACACAGACGTTATATAGGTAAACACGACAATGACGTTATATAGGTAAACACGACAATGAGGAGACTCTCCCACTACACACTAGAACATATTCCTCGCCGCTCTTTCTCTAGAACTGAATACGGGACTTCCTTCCACCAACTTAAGGATGCGACCTTGCAGCACTCCCAGAACCGGCTAGACCTCGAGCCTGACGTTGTATGCAGAAAACAGAAGAACTGCTTCAACAGAACCAGGTTGCATAGGAGGTGAAAGAAGAGTCCCAAACAAAATCCCCAAGAGGGTTTAAATACTACAACTCCAAACCTAACTGCGACGGCTTGACTGTCTTCGAAACCCTAGCCGCCACCAAAAAAAAGCCTGAGATATCACTGCCGAGAACTTAGCAGGTGATGACTACGTGTTCACCGCTTTCAACTGCCAGCAGCCTGGCGTACAAAACCCCATCCAAGCCTTCTAGGATACCTAGATCTAAACTTAGAATGTTTGGATCTAATCTACCTGATCCATTCTTCTGGTTCAGAAAAAACAGAAGACCAGGTCCGTGTCCAGCTAACTTTCCACTACTGCTATTATAATTTTATCAAACCTACTTCTGACATAGTTTTCTAGTTTACTTACACTCTTCTTTTTCCGTCAACTTCCTAGTAAAGAGGTACTGTCAACTAGAAAGCATTGCAGAATCTAGTTAATTTTGTGTGAGGAGCAGTCTTAGCTTCTCACAGATGGTGTCGACGATCCGACGTGTGTGCTCGAGAAAAAGCTTTCTGTATTCGCTCGCTGTCGACAAAAGCGTAGAAACTTTAGTGACAGATGTACAGTTACATCTAGGAGCACAGAGGAAGTCGACATCATGGAGCAGAACACTTCCAGTGATGAGAAGACTCGGAGCTCATGGTCTTTGGATCTGAGTTGTGCAGTCGATGTTCAGGCAGAAGCACTGAACTGAAGAAATGGGGGATCTTGTTTCTCACCTCCGAAAGTTTGAGGATCAGCTGATTGTGCTGCATGGAAACTTGGACTTGCGAATGTCTTGACATGAGAACAGTGGTACTACCACGTTTCACTCACTCCACTCCAGGCGAAGATATTTCAGGCAGTTGACAAAGCCCACGAGATTCCAGAGATATTTATGTTCATGCAAACAAACAAAATCAAATTGTTTGCGTAGACTCATTCAGAAGCAATTTTATTTTCAAGTTCATCACGGAAAATTAAACACCACCGGAACCAGTGAGACTTTTAGTGAGTACTGAGTTTCACACACTTCACAATATATCATGTTCGGTTTCACGCCCATGCTTCCCATTGCTACTAGTGGCAACTGGATTTCTGGTTTCTTAAGTCTACTTCCACGTTGTCTCCTAAATGCTAACAACTGTTCTGTCTATAATCCAATCCTGAAGTAGTTATTGCATCGTAAAGGGGAAAGTTTAGTTTCCATGACTGAGCTTCAAGCCTGTCTGTTTCTACTTGCTGATCTTGTTGTCCACTTCCTGATAACTTGCGTTCCAATTTATTTGTGCATTGAAACTACGATAGACCAGCTCAGTCCTGAGTAACCACGAAATGTTCGGCAAAAGTCTGTTTCTTCAGAGTGCGGTGTCCTTCCTGAGCATGTCGGAATTGACGGATACGGTCCGTCGACTAGCACGAAATCATTCACATTTCTCGCATTGTACCAGTTTCCTACGCTCTGCGCAATTGTCTGACCACACATGAGCAAAGTCATATTAGCGATGTTCTACGGTGGTTAGCTAATATGGAAGGACGGGGTAGGAAGGTAATTCATTTACCTTGCCATTGATAAAAAAGTTTTGATGGCCGTTCCATCTGGCAGTGTCTGCTGCCATGCAATGAGCAGAGCAGTATATCACGAATTCTCCACGCACGGAGGAATCTGCAGCTTCCAAAGCTCTCACCATTCTGATTCTGTAAAGGGAATTTTATGGTTAGTACATGGCACAAGGATTACTTAGGTCACAAGAATAGGGTGCAAAGGAAACGGCAATGTAAAAATTTTTATTTACCTTCAAGCACTCCAAGCTGCTCGGAGGAGCAACTTCCAAGGTCTTGTGTGCATCTCGTCCATGTACCCGTAGGATCTGCCGACTTCCGAGCGACGAGGTTTCCAATGTGTTCTCCGCCCACTCATAACGCTCAACTAGATCACGACCGACCCACCATAACCAGCAGGTTGTGAAGTCACCTGACGAATATCCATGGACATGATAGAAGTATTGTATACTAAAGTTCATGAAGTTCCAATGATAATTTATTCCGGTGATATAACTGATATAACTGATAGATATCCAGGTCTGATTGAAGTATGTATAATGGCGTATGGACGTATTGTAAAGCGTTTTGTGCAAAAAAGCATTCCCATGCCTGGCATCAGTACACAAGTCCACGCCAGCTTAATCAGATATTGATGCACGGGGATATAAGTGTCATACTCAAAAGTTAGATGAGATTGTCAAAACCGAAGATGAGAGTTTGCACTTACCGAAGATGTTGCTTTCGAGGATGTGCAACATTTATCCAAGGCAGGCATTACGTTCTGCAGTCGATGAACGAAAGAGGGAAAAATGTAGAGTGAGATGTAGAGTCAGTGATGAGGAAACACAAATCTCAATGAATCCGCGTACCACAGGTAAGTTGCTTAATGGGAAGTCATAGCTGCACACGGCGAAGAACATGGAGGAAAGTGTAGACGTACATGTGTGAGGGCAACGCCATGAAAAAGCTCTAACGAAGTGAGACCGCCGCTGACATCTGGACTGTGGGAGATAACAAGAGTGAAGTCTTACGGCCTACAATTATGAGAAAATCTTACAATCACGACAGACCCCAAAATACTGCACTAACATAATCTGCGATGGAACCATACACACAAACGAATACCAATAGTGAGCCTGGAAGCTGGACAGACAATGCCTTCTTATCCTGAGCTGAACTTCGCTCATGACATCGTTCCACGGTTGTAGGAATAAGTTAATGCCAAATGAAGCAGAGCATGCTTCAGGAACGTAGTATCCGGAACTAGAATTGGAGACAATGTGACTGCGGACATTGCAATGAGTGGTTGAGAACTTACTGTGGTAACGTAATTTTTCATTTTCTTTCGAAAAGAGTAAGTTTGAAAAGTAGAAGACTAATAATTTTAAATTTTTCAAATAAGAATATTTCAAAGTAGACTAAACAGTGGATTTTGGAATAGAAGCTGAGTAAATAGTACTGGAATCCATTTAGATAACTCTCCGTTGGAGTTAGTATTCTTAATTGTAGGTAATGAAGTTGAATTAGATGAGCTATGATACACTAGAGTAAATGATTCATAACTTTCTTAATTATTAGTAGTTTGCATTAGACAGTGTTTCAGTAGATAGAACTTGGCGTGCTTGAGACCAAGAACACCAGAAACGGGTAAGGGGATCCCGAGTTACTAATGTATGCAACGGAACACATGGGTTGGAGAAGGCAAAGGATTGCCTTTGGACTTCGGCGATAGCATCTTCGGCGTTACAGCAGAAGAGCATTCGGCGAAGGATCTTCGGCAAAGTAAAAGGCGGCTTCAAACGGAAGAGAAATTCAAACAATTGTATTGTCGATTTGCACGAGTTTATGATGCGGTTAGAGCTTTGAAGTACATTGGGAGAAACGGGAATTCTGCGCCAACATTTTGCGAGAATACATGAGCTTTGAAATACATTGGGAGAAACGGGAGTTCTGCGCCAACATTTTGCGAGAATACATCTGCAAATTGAGAGTTCAGTGAGAATCACGAGTGGGAAATTGAGAGCGATCTTTGGGACTTTGATTGTCACCGTTGAAGGTGCCAGAATTTGGATTACGAGCATATCGACAAGAGTTGATAGATGCCAAGTTTGATTTCTTGCTATGGCGTTGAAATTGGGTTTTCGTAGCAATTTTGAAGGAGTGGCACGAAGGGCGCAAGCCGGACGTTGAAGGACTTCGCGACAACCCAATGAGCTGGACATTAGAGCATTGGGCTCAAGTTTTCGGATTGTGCGCAGGAGAAGACGGCGATTATAGCGTTTGGCTCAGCTTACTTCGTCATCTTTCCATCTAAATATCTGAGTAAGGGAACTATCCGATCTTTCAAAATGTCAGTTACACTTAGCTCTGTTGTCTTTGGTTCTTTGGCCAAACCTTTTGCCGCAGTCAAAATCGACTGTACCCGAAGACACCTGACATGAGTACATCGCCTATTGCTCCGTGACTGTTTTTTTCTCTTCTGCCACCACTCGATCCTGAAGTTCTTCGACCGATGTGGTCTCCACCGGCGGCTCTTCCAAATCTGCTTGCACATCCTAAGTTTCCTTACCCAAAGTCTGAAGATCCTCGGACTGCTTTAGCAGTCTAGATTGTAGTTTTTCCACGGTTTTCAACTTCTATGCCACAGGAGGCAATGATGCATTTTTCATGTTCGATGAACTTGCGGTGGTGAAATATATGGCTGAATTAGACTTTAAGCTCTTTCTACCCCAACCTCCTTTTTCCTTAAGCCATCACTTTCAATACGCTGCGATCCCCGACGAACCTTGGTGTGCGATAATTCCAAGTCCCAAAGGAAGTGCAGGGCAGGGATGGATAAGACAGCAAGAGTATATAGCACAGCAGCAGCAGAGACGTCTGCAGGAGGAGATGCGGGGCCAGAGGAGGCTTTCTAGTATAAAATAAGATTGTAGATAATTTCCCTTGGTTACATTTGATGAGACAGTAATGTATTTTGTGATCAGATTTGCATGTACATGCCTCTTGTGTCAACTTAAATAGTAGCAACTCGATTTTGAGAGATGATTGTTGAAATTAGAATCTAAGTTACTATTGGTATGAAATACAAAATATTTTTTATGTTGATAAGAAGATTAATCTGATTGAAAGATTGAATATTGAAAGATCTGAGTGGGGAGAGGTTAAATCAAGACTTTTCTAGTTATTTTTGCAATCATAAAACTACAATCCAGACCACTTTAGCCCCAGAATATGCGAGAAAAGACGTTCATCAGAATAGACATTTCCACAAGTATGTCAACAAGGTTCATACTGGTAATTAGCGCGTTGATTACCTTCCTACCATCAAAGCGCTCTTTAGTTTTCTTACGCACATTAGTTAGACTATATTTATACCTTAGTGGAGTTGAGAGAGTAATTAGTCATATTTTCAAGTTCGAATAATTCTACTCTGGAAATAAGCGATAATATATTCAGAATAAATAAGCGTTCAGTTCGTAACAAATGGCAGGAAATCATAGCTGGTCCGGAGATAAGGATCAAAATCTGGAATTAATCTGTTATTTTGTATTATGATGCATGTATTGACAATAAAGGGCGTACATCTGCTTTCGTGATGGATGGATCTAAAGAAATATTATATTTGGGCCCAAGCAGGTATCGCTGCTGATAGAGGCCTACTGTGTTTCAATGACTGTTGTCAACCGAATATGTAATGTATAACCCTGTATTCCTGACTTTTAACGTACCTCATGAAATCGATGGAGTATCTACAGTCTTGAGGTATGCTTGAGTGCATCATGGTAGGTTTAGTTCAAGCTGGTTTTGGGAGGAGTTCTAGTCCCAGATAGACGCAGATATTTGATTTACGATTCGACTACCAGTACATGGTCGTGGATTAGTCATCAGTTTCCTACATTGTTAAACTGAATGGAAATAGAGTGGCATAGTGGGAGATGTGTAGTATGTAATGGATGTTTGTATTGGCTAGTATGGGATCCCAGGGTCACCATTAAGGCTCTATTGATATTTGATCTGAGAAAAGAAACATGGATGGTTTTCGCCGAGAAAGGCATAGAGGACAAGCCAGGCGCCCTTCAGATTTTTGCGTATGAAGGATGTGTGTGTTTACTCACCATAGATTGGACTGATGTGGAGTTTGATCATAGGAGCTATGACGGCAACTTCCTCCGCCATCCAATGGTCCGGAGAATGGATGGAACTCTAATAAAGAGAACAAGAGATCTATGGGTTATGGAGGATGACTGAGCTTTCAAAATTTATGCTTCGAGAGGGTGTTCTTCGTTTTTCAGGAGGAAGGTGAAGACCTTGAGGTGGCAAAATACTGGGCTAAAATAGACATGATGTGTTTTTACCCTAACCTATTTTTCGCGCAGCCCTTGAGTTTCATTTATGGGAATTTCTGCCGCATGTAACCCATGACCCTTGGTGTGCGATAATTCCAGCGCCCGGATTAAATGAAGAGCAGGAGTGGATAAAACAGCAGCAGGGACATCTGTAATAGGAGGCGGGGGACTCTCCCAGAGAAGAGGACGTAGTGGAAGTCCAAAGAGAAGTTATAGGAGTCTGTGAAGTTATATGAAGTTTGTGAAGTTCTTTCGTGAACTGTGAGTGAACTTCTGTCATAGAAACCTTCAGCTAGAAGTGGAGGACGATTACAATTTCCATCGATCAAAGGACTGTCAAGTATTAGCGGTGGGTCTTTTTTGTCAGCTTCAAAACATAGGAGAGTGAAGTTGTAAGTTTCTTGAATATTAACTCGGCTAATATCTCACAAAAAATACATTGCCAAAATATGACAAAGCTCGTGACTAATGATAAACTTGACGTGCGAAAGCAATTATTTCTCGTACAATCAATCTCTAGTCAAATCTAATCACAACAATTGAATTAATATTTGCAGATAATTCTGGTTGACATATATCATTTATTTTTGTGTTTTGAGACTTCCATTTGTTTTGTGAAAGATGATATATTATTTCAATTATTTTTTTTAAAAAAAATTGCGATAAATCTTCACCTTGTTTCTTTTTATTCCATATCATAGAAAAATCCATTCAATTAATAATTGAATTTCTCCTTCCAGTGAAATTTTTCCACAATCATCTAAACTTATTCGAAGAAATATATTTATTGACAAAATTGTAGAAGTTACAAGATATTTAAACACAAACAGTTCCGATTAAGTTAAAATTTGCATCTTATATAATACAACCACATTATGTCGAATATCACAAGATATAATAAAGTCAACTATATTACAATTAATTACATACATCGCGGTCTGAACAGCTTCATTCTAATATGAATATAATAAATCAGTTTGAATTATCATACTTAATATTGAATTGATCTTTGTATTTGTTGACGTTTTTTTTAACTATTTATCACAACAAACATACATTATTAAATTTATGATCCTACATGTCCTGTTGTCCAATTTTTTTCATAAATACACGTGTATCATACAAACTTTATTAAGACTTTTATGATTTCAAAGCATAATTTCATAAATATATGAAATATTGCATTTCATTCTTAAGCGATTTTTTTAATTCATATGGTTATTTCATCAATGAAATATATCAAAATCTCATAAATTTTTTTGTTTAAGTCAATTGATGTTCTCATGTAGATTTTTCCTTACAATGAAATAGAAAAATACTAGAATTATAATCATGAGATTCAAAATTATCTTAAATATTAAAAAAATGCACATTTCATAATCAACATATAGCATATTTTGTTAAAAATGCGATAACTTTATTGTAATTCACATCCTTCTGTTCTATTAGATTCCTAGCCAGCAATTCAACTTTCAAACTAATATTTTCTTCATCTTCTTGATAATTTTGGTCTAAAATTGCGTGTCCTATCAACCAAAGACTGAATTATTATATGTTTCATCATTTTCAACCTATGTTTATGAATTATAAATTGCATATTACACTTTATAATTATATTTAATGAAATGACAGTTACTTGTGCATCGGTAATTCATCATGTCATTTTCGATTTGGTGTTAGTTCAACTGTCAATTTCACAGTTTGAAGTATAAACATACTCTTTACAACTTTCAAAACATTCTATCGACAGTACTCTGTTGGAATATCTTTCGATTTTTATTGATCGTATGAAATACAATTTGAATCTAATAGTAATAGTAATTTACGCATTTTGTCAAGGGTTTAACA